GCCCAGGAATCCGTGTTATAGAGAGCTCCGCAGGTGATTCTTACACACGCTCGAGTTTGAGAACTAGTGAATACCACCGTACTTCAAATTGAACATCAGTAGGTCCCTACACCGTATTTGAGAAAGCTGATCTAGACCACTGGGCTCAACCCTGGCTGCACATCAGGTTCATCTCTGATGTGCAGCCAGGTCTGAGAATCTTGGGAGTTTGGCAGATGGGCCTACATTGTTTCCCACACACAGCCATCTTTTCTGCCTCTTGCTGGGCGCTCTACCTGGAGTGTGTGTCCGTGCCATTTCCATATTGCCAAAACTATCCATTCTAGGAACAGACGGAACCCAAACAAAGCTTCTCCTCAGACTGGTCTCTGATCCTCTTTCAATTTCCGGAAGCCCCGTAGGTGGCTTCTATTAGCACTTGTAGCCAAGTAAGACTCTTACATTGTTCTGTTAAAATGCAGCCTCATCCAAAGAAATAGTGTTTCTCAAACTGTGTCCTATGGAGTATTCATGTTCTGTCATATACTAATGCCCATTTTGTGGAACAACTGTTCTTTGGTCAAAACATAAATACTGAGGGGCACCTGGGTGGCTCAATCCGTTAAGCGGCCGACTCTTGATGTCAGCTCAGGTCTTGATCTCAGGGTTGTGAGTTCAAGCCCTACGCTGGGCTCCACTACTTAAAAAAATAAAAATAAAAACTGAGAAATATTGCACACCACATGATTTCTGCACATCGCTCTTTGGGTTTTTCTCCCATCCCTAGACTACCGTTTCTTCTTGCTTTGTTACATTTTCTTTCATGGAGCTGGAATTCATATAACATGAGAACAGCCATTTTGAAGTGAACAAGTTCCATAGCATTTAGTACATTCACGGTGCCGTGCCGCCACCTCTATCCAGTTCCAGAACTAGATTTTCATCATATCGAAAGGAAACCCCACACCCACTCGCAGGCACTCCCCATTTCTACCCCACCTCCAGTCATTAGGCATGTTCTTTCTTTTTTACTTTGAATCTATTTGCTCATCAGAAAACTGGGGATCATATGTCATCGGGTTGTTAGAAGAAACAAGGCAGGTAATTTGTGTAAGTTGTCCAGCACTATACACGTTGGGTACCTAACAAAGGTCGTATCCTTACTTCATTTTCCCTTCGGTCTTGTCATTCTTTCTTTCTTTTTTTTTTTTTTAAAGATTTTATTTATTTGAGAGAGAGAGGGAAACAGCATGACAAGGGAGAGGGTCAGAGGGAGAAGCAGGCTCCCCGATAAGCAGGGAGCCCGAGCAGGACTCGATCCCAGGACTCTGGGATCATGACCTGAGCCGAAGGCAGTCCCTTAACCAACTGAGCCACCCAGGCACCGCCAGTCTTGTCATTCTAGTGTTTAAGGTGTCAGATTCCACAGTGCTCAAAAGAAGAAAAAAGGCTTTGTAAATTCTTCCTTTAGCAAAATAAAAATATATTTCCCCTCTGAAAGGTGGCACTAAAATAACTGGTATAAATACAATGACGATAAACCAATATTACATTTCTATTTTTATTTTAAAGCTCTTTTTTGGAAATTATTTTAGATTTATAGAAAGGTTGTAAAGACCATACAGAGTTCCTACACTTCTCCGCCCAGTTTCCCGTATTAACATTTTATGCAACTCTGGTACATTTGTCAAAACTACGAAATCAACACTGGCACATTCTTATTAAATAAAACTACAGACCTTACATGGATTTCACTAGTTTTCCCATTAATATCCTTTTTCTGTACCAGGATCCAATCCAGGATCCCACATGGCAATTAGTCATCATGTCTCCTTAGTCTCTTCTGTGACAATTTTTGTCCTTGCTTGTTTTTCATAACAGGGTTTTGAGGAGAGCTAGTTAGGCATTTTGCAGAATGTCCCTCCATTTGGGTTTGTTTATTTATTTATTATTTTTTAAAGATTTTTAAAATTTATTTGTCAGAGAGAGGGAGAGAGAAAGAGCACAAGCAGGGGAGAGAGGCATAGGGAGAGGGAGAAGCAGGTTCCCCGCAGGGCAAGGAGCCCGATGTGGGACTCAATCCCCTGGGACCATGACTCGAGCTGAAGGCAGATGCTTAACTGACTGAGCCACCCAGGCATCCCATCAATATGGGTTTATCTGACGTATTTCTCACAATGAGACCGGGCTTATGGGTTTTGAGACCTACCATAGAGGTGAAGCGCCCTTCTTGTCACATCAAATCACATCAGGTAGCACAAGGTATCCACAGAACTTATTACTGGTGATGTTAACCTTGAGAGCTAGGAGAATGTGGTGCCTGTCAGGTTTGTCCACTGAAAGTTGCCATTTTCCCCTTTCTATCCTCCGTTCTTTGGAAGCCAGTCACCAGTGTAGCCCTGACTCAGTAGAGGAGGGAGACTAAGGTCTGCCTCCTAGAAGGGGCAGTATCTACAGATATTTGAAATTCTTCTGTAAGAAGACTTGTCTCTTCTCATTTATTATTCAATCATTTGTGCATTTCTTTATAGTCCAGCACTATGTTATATATTTGTTGCTCAAATTGTTCCAGTTTGCCCACTGGGAGCTCTTCCAGACTGGCCCCCATATCCCTTTGACATGCCTCAATTCTTCCCCGCCCCCACCCCAGGATGTTAGCTTTTGATGTAAAATTTGGTTTTCTTCCCCACCTGTGCACTGAAATTGCTTTAAGGTCCTTTAGATTACAATGGTTTCTAGATTGTCAGGCCAAAGTCTAACTTTCTTAGTTTACCAGACCTTTCTGTGACAATACAATTCATCTCTTTCAAATTGCATTTCAAAAAACTTATTATGGCATTTTCAAACACAGACCAAGCTAGAGAAAAGAACATAATGAATCTCCATGTGTCCATCTCCCAGCTTCAACACTTCTCAACATTTTGCTCATCTTGTTTCACAGGTCACCTCTCACATGTTCTGCCACTGGAATACTTTATTCTTATGAGAGAGGAGAGGAAGGGGAGAGGGAGAGAGAGAATCTTAAGCAGGCTCCTGGGTGTGGAGCCTGACGCTGGGCTCAATCTCACGACTGTGAGATCATGACCTGAGCCGAAATCAAGAGTTGGATGCTTAACCAACTGAGCCACCCAGACGCCCTGCCACTACAATACTTTAAAGGAAATCCTAGGCAGGGGTACCTGGCTGGCTTAGTTGGAGAAGTGTGTGACTCTTGATCTTGGGGTCATGTGTTTGAGCCCCACGCTGGATGTAGAGATTAAATGAATAAAACTTAAAAAAAAAAGGGGGGGGCGTGCCTGAGTGGCTCAGTCAGTTAAGCGATTGCCTTCAGCTCAGGGTCTTGGGATGGAGTCCTGCATTGGGCTCCTTGCTCAGCAGGGGAGTCTGCTTCTCCCCCTCCCCCTGCTCCTGCTTTCTCTCTCTCTCTCTCACTCTCTTTCAAATAAATAAATAAAATCTTAAAAAAAGAAAAAAGGAAATCCCAGAATCCCAGACATTCTATGAATTCAGCTGTAAAGAGTACAGTGTCTTTAACAGGTAAGAACTTTAAACAAACGAACAAAACAAACCATAACCACCAAAAAACTATTACACCTAACAAAATTAATAATTCTTTAATATCCTCTAACAGTCCATATTCAAATTTCCCCTAAATTTTAATAATTTGTTCAAATCAGTATCCCTACAAAGTGCACACGTTACATCCTGAAACAGTCTCCGCCTCTCGCCACTACCCCTTCTGCAACAGACTTTTTAAAAACCCAGTTGTTGAAGAAACTAGGTTTTTTGTCCTATCAAATTTCCTACATTATGGATTTGTATGATTGTATCTTCATAGTGTCTTTTAACATGTTAGTCTACTTGAACTTCCTGTAAATTGGTACTTAGAGTCTTAGATTCTGTATGTGTACATGTATGTATCTGCAATATACTTGAGATCTCTTTGTATCTATGTATCTGTATCTTTGCAAAAAATACTTGATTGGTGGTGAAGTCCACTTCCCATTGCATCACAGTAAAAGCCGTATTATCTGGTTGTCCCACTTACAATTTTCCCCTTTGAGATACCTCTAGCTCCCGGCTGTCCTCCTCTTTGCCATTTCTTCTCAGTTCCCTTCACAGACTCTTATGTTTTCAAGTCATTGTTCTTCAGAGCCCCACTGTCACTGGCCTATATATATGGTCCCCTTTTCCATATTCCTAAGGCTGAGGACTCAAAAGTCTGTATTTTTGATGCAGACCCTATCCACTGAATTCCAAAGCCCAATATCCAGTGACTGGCAGGATGTCCCTGGATGTTGTGAGCTCTTCAAACCTTGTCCCATATGGAATTTGTCCCAAACCTGTTTCTCATTGTTTTCTTTACCTCAATGACTAGAACCACCATCCAAGACAGAAACCCGAGCCATCCTAGTCTTTTCCTCACCTGCCCAAATCGCCGAGCCACAGAACATCTAGATCCTCAGTATCTCAAGTGTGTCTCCTTTTCTTCTAGCTGCTCTAGCCTTAGTTCTACAATTCAGACAAAGAGTACAAGTGCACCACCCAGGGTCGCACATTCTCAAGCAGAGCTAGGAATAGTACCTAACTCCATGCTCCAGCACAAAATACACTGGAATCTTGCTGAGGGCTGTAATTGGCTCCAGATTCTTTGCTATGCTTTGGATGTATTGTGCTTTACACATATTGTGAATATGGTTGTAGAAGTTGACTTCAGCGGGGTGAAGCAGCCTAAAGTGGGGAGTTTAGGGGTCAGATTCTATCTGGGTTTCACACCCACTTCCACCACTGAAAGTGCACTCGGTTAAGTTGGTTAATTTGTCTGTACTGTTTCCTCATCTGCAAAACAGGGATCACATTCCTTCACCACTTTTCTGAAATCCCCAAAGCTCTGGAAACTGGAAGGTATGCGTGTGTGTGTTTTAAATAATTTGTTTGGCAGCCAAACCTGACTTGACGGTAAGGATTTGATGACAAAACCTGACCTGAATGAAATGGAGGATATTTATGGTTTTTACTTATCCCAGTTAGAATATCCTTCCATTTTACTGCACAACTGTCTTTGATGACAGGCTGCTGGCCCAGCCCATTGGGACAAGTTCTAGAATATGCTGTTGTACCTTTCAAAAGTACAACAATGTCTGTATTCTGCAACACACTTGACCCCAGGGTTTGTCACACAGCTCCTTTACAGGTTTGTCACACAGACTGATTACCAAGGAAATTAGTATTCTTAAAGCAATTACAAAAGTGTGTACCTAGAGTAAGCCCTACAGAAGCGTTTAACATTTCAGGTAACAGTTAACCCTATGAATGCAGTGAAAGATAAACTATTTTATATCAGAACAGAGTCTGAATTTGGGGGCCTCCATAAAAGTGGGGTTCCTATCATAGCTTTTCTGTTAGAAAGAGATGAAATACCAGAGAGACAGGAAAACCCCTTTTGAATGGCACGCCAATCCTCATGCCAATGCTCAGAAGTAACCACGATTCTGAAACTGGTGTGAACTTTGTCCATGCAAGCCTCTTGATTTTCATACATACATATGCATCCATAGCATGTATTCTTGTTTAGAACAAAGACTAATCCAGCCCGGAATGGCAGCAGTGCAGAGGCTGAGAAGCCCTGCCCTGTCCCGTCTTGCTTCCCCGCTGCCGCGGCTCCTGCGCATGCCCCCAGCGGAGCACAGACTGCGATTACCAGCACTGCACACCTATATGCCTCTCCTCCTAGAAGACAAGTTCCCCCGAGGGAAGAGACTAACGCTTAGCTAACTGCAACAGAAAGGACTCAAAAATTTGCTGAATAAATCCACCATCAAATCATGGGTCCCTCCCGGATGCCGAAAAGCCAAAGCATCCATTTGAAGAGCTGCCAGGGGAAACACCTCTCCGTATCTGGAAGAAGTTTCATATATACCCAGGACTTCCACTGGCACTCTGGCCATTTTTAAAGGCAGGGACTACATGTCAACGTTTCCTGAGTCTTCACCATGTGGCCAGCAGTGTGTGATTCACAGGCACTAATCCAGTGCGGTCTTCACAAGGACCCCACGTGGGGGCATCACGAACCCCCACCCGTGTAAGGAGCGCGAAGTAGCTGGCCCGCACCTGCGCTAACAAAGCCAGCAGGCCCGGGCCCGCATACTGGTTTCTCTGGGGGAAGGTATGAGAGTCCTTTGTCAAGAGAACGTTTCACTCTCAAATAGCTAAGAAGCTGCTGCAATTACAGGCTTTGGTTTGTATTTGTGCCTGAGCCATACTTATTTTCTATTTCGGTGTAGGAGTTTCACAGAAAAAAACAAGAGCTACTAAGGATGTGAAATTTTATTTATTTTATTTTTTTTAAAGATTTTATTTATTCATTTGAGACAGAGAGAGAGAGAGAGCATGAGCGGCGGGGGGAGACAGAGGGAGAGGGAGAAGGAGGCTCTCTGCTGAGCCAGGAGCCCGACGTGGGGCTCGATCCCAGGACCCTGGAATCATGACCTGAGCCGAAGGCAGACGCTTAGCCATCTGAGCCACCCAGGCGCCCCAAGGATTTGAAATTTTAGTCCTGTGTCACCTCAAGGGAAGTTAATTCTGATTTTTGTCGGCAGTACCCAAGCACAAATCACAACTCCAGGAATACAATGAGAGCTTGGAAAAATAAGCACCTGGGGCTGGTGAGAGTAATGCATTTGTCTCAGGGCAGGGGCTGAAATGTGGAGCTAAGTGTTCTTCGGGAGAAACATGTCAATACGTAATCTTTTCACCAACCTTTGATGGATGTGCTAATCTTCTCAGGTCAACATGGGCTCACCCTGGCAACATACTGTGATAACTTATTTAAAAGGCAGCTGGCTTTTATAAATGGACCGTTCCGTCAATTTTTAGATTTTCATCCTCAGAAATGTATTCCCTTCTCAAAGCAACATTCACTATACATAGTAAGAGCTCAATCATACCTTTTCTACAACAGAGGATACTGCAGAGGTGAGCAGGTTTGGGAATTACTGTTCTTCGCTCTCAATTCTGTGACATTCAAGCTCTATAGAGATAATGAGATAACAAGAAAAATGTCAAGACGGTTATTCTCATTCCATTAGAGCAGTGGGTTCGCAAACTACTGCCCTTAGGCCAAATCTGGCCCAAGGCCTGTTTTTATAAATAAAGTTTTGTTGGAACACACCCACACCCATTTGTTTACTCACCATCTACAGCTGCTTTCATGCTGCAAGGGCAGAACAGAGTAGTTGCAACAAAGACTGTGCGGCCTGCAAAGCCGAAAATATTCACTCTCTGCTCCTTTACAGGACATGCACGCTGACCTCTACGTCGGGGAGAAGTGGTGTTTGTCCCACTGGGTCATTTTCAGTGGGGGCTAAAGGAGTTCGAGCAGGAGAGGACATCTGACTCATTCAAGGCATGTGCGTTGCAGTTCAGTTGGGTTAAAGACAGGACAGAAGAAAATAGAAAAAGGCAAAAAACGAGGCAGTTTCTCTAAGTGAGGACTTTAATGAACTGAACATTATTAGTGACATCAAAACCAAGCATAATATATATGAAATTACCATTTTAGGTCAAAAGAAAATCTTTCATGTTGGCAACAGTACACATCTTGCTGACTTCAAGTGGCCAACGTATTACACCCAGCCCTGGGATGGGCCCCCTGGGACTTTGGTGACATGCTTCTTTCTCCGTGTAAGAGAAATTTCCCTGAGAAAATGCACAGAAGGAGAGATTGAGTGAATCCAGGAGGAAGGGGGGGATGGCTGGGTACCCCGCGCCGCGGGCTCAGAATTTGAGCGGAATGACCGGCCAGTACTTGGGCCGCTTCCTGTCACAGTGCTTGTCGAAGCTCAGCTGCACGGCGGCCTCCATGGCCTGGATCTTCGCGGCACTGTCCCCATACAAGCGCTTCATCTCAGCCTTGCGCCGCTCGCCAGGCCTCTCGGACGGGGGCTCCACTGAGCGGCGGGTGCTGTAGTACAGGTCGTGGTCGGCGTTCACGTAGTCTTCCAGGCGCTGCGCGTCCAGCTGCTGCTGCCGCCCTGAGAACGAACCGACACGGGGCGGGGTGGGGGGTGAGCCCGGGGTGCGGCTGCTGCTGCACTGCCACGTCGGGCCTGGCTGCGCCTGCCGAGACACTCACCGGGTTCTAAGGCACCAGCCGCACGCCAGTACCCGCGTGCCTAGGAAATGCACCGATCGCTTATCCGGGAGGCTAAGGCTGCCCCGCCAGACACGGCGAAAAGCCGCCAGGAAACACGTCACCCAGCACCATCAAACCTCCACGCTGAGCCCCGAATACAGCTCTGCCCCTTTCATCCATGCGGCCTGCCCACAAGCCGCCCAGCTGGGAAGGGCCGCCTGGTTTCACACACTGGACCAGGCCAGCCGGGACACAAAATGCTTCCTGCAAAGTCCAGGGTTGCAAGAAGTAATACTTCCGCCCACAAATGAGGTGCTGGGGTGGGGGGAGTCAGCCCCGTGTTAGAGGTGCCGATTTCATAGTCACCTCGAAAAGAGCAAGTGCTGGTGTCTATAGAATTGCAGCCCTGATCCCCAATCCTTCCACACGGCCAAAGCACAGAGCACGCCAGGAAATGGAGTCACGTAATTCAACACCCGCCCGAGGAAACAGGGCTGAGCCAGGGCAATTCTGCCAATGGAAGGAAGACCTGACTTCTAAGCTTCCTGCTATATTAACAGAACTGCAAGTGCGCCGACTTCCTCACGATGGGATTTGTCTTTCCCCTTCACAGCTTAGCTTCGGCTAAATTTCAAGTGATAGAGTTACCGGATTTTAATCCTACTAATTTAAATGGATTCTTGTAAAGCAAAAAATTCAGTATATTCTCCCCCGTATAGTTTTTACTACAACAAGTCCTACTTTTATTTTTATGTATATAGAAATAACATTAACATATCAATAAGAGAACACTGCATAAGGTAAAATTTAGCCAACCGATAGATTTTTCTAAGTGACTGTCAGGAACAGAGAAACAGTAGAATGCACACATCTGTAGCTACTACTGCGACTGAGAGAAATGCTGCTGAATAAGGAGTGAAGGTGGTTATAGGGGATGAAACAATGACATACATCATTCTTTCCTTTTTTTTTTTTTTAAAGTAGCAGAATGATAGCTTAGTGTAGAAGGGAACCCAAAAGTGAGCAGCAAGATATGTCTGTGGCTAGGCGGTCACGCTCCTAAGTTTGTTCTTCGCACATATCCCCTTGGAGTTGGAAGGAAGGAGTTTTGGACACTTGGGAACACAATAAACGTGGATGGCCATTTCTGAGTTAGCACATCCGCAGCTTCTTTCTTATACCAGGAGGTCACCTACAGATAGGCCAAGTGACTGTCAAGCAAGTAAGTGCAATGTAACTGTTCCCTTATCCACAGAAGAGAGATGTAGCTGACTTCCTGTGAAATGCAGAACTGAACCAAAATACTGGCGTGATGTGCAAATGAACAGGAGGTCAATAAGCATTTGTCTCTCAGTTTTGGTCTTTTTGCCAAGTCTGAAACATCAGGATGTAAGTTGTTCAGTTCTCACGGGTGTTTAGATTGTGTACCCCCGCCCTCCAAAGACCACTCCTCTGAAAGTGTGGCCTTTCCACATTAGCCAGGGACAGCAGTTCCCTTTGCCTCCTATGGGAGCCTTGGGCAGTTACCAGTACTTGGGCTCATTTCGTCGTAGGCCCAGAGGAAACCATCCCGTGGGGGTGGGTGGGTGGGCAGAGCCTGTGCATCCAGAGGACAGAGGTTCCCAGACCGCAATCCTTTTACTCTCACATTTGTCCCAAGACTATAATCAGCCTCACCGACAGATCCAGTGACACAGCAGATGTTCAACTTCCTGTCTAAATCGGAGTCCTTGCGTTTACAAGTTTTAATAAACACTGGATCCACGCTATCTTAGCAAGTGTTGCTCTCTACCGCCGGGATATGTGAATTTAACCTTCTTACTTTTGCATCTTTCTCTTTCTTTTCCTGGTAATTTAACATGGTTCTGCTACTCTTCTGACCAAAACTATCTTAACAGGTAGGCAATCAGTATAACAATCCTACATCGAGATGTTTTCTCTTACGGTTGACATCTATCAACGAAACACTGTTCATACGAGCCAAGTGCAGCTGCTGGTCAACGTAGCCAGTGCAGCTTTCCAAGTTCACACTTGGCAGGTGCTCATGGGTTACCATCACAGGGTTTCAGCTAATGAAGCTCATTTCGTCTAAGAATAACAGAATAAAAGGCACAGGCCTCTGCTCTCAGTTGTCTTCTTGTCTCTCCTTCCTGTTCAGGTTTCCTTATGAAAATTTAAGACTCAACCCTTGTCCTCTCCCTGCCTCTCAAGAGGCTTGGAGCTTTCCTGGTTTCCAGCATGGTGGGTAGTTGCTCTAAAGCACGGACCTAAGGGGCGGGAAGCCTGTCCCCTGCACTGACCAGCTAGTGCTAAAACCTGCCTGTGGAAGTCATGCATGGGGAAAGGGCACGGTTGCCTTCACCACCCCCCACAGTCCCCAGCCCCGGGAGGACACAATGCCTGATGCTAAGCAGGTGCTCAGGAAATGACTGTTGAGAGAAAGCCTGGACAGAGGCCATACATTATTTTTTGTAAACAGCTGTTTCTTCCAGATGCTGTTAAAGAAAAATGATGACAACTCAGGGATAGAGAAACAGATGCTCAAATCTCAAAAGGTGCTGGGCAGAGCTCCCCTCCCATGGGTTCCTCAGAGCCTCCACAGCAGAGAGGCTGCAGGAGATGGGGGCACCAGTGAGATGGAGTCTGATCTTGTTCCTTTATATCTGAATCACTGTGCCTCTACTTACCTAAACACTTAAAAAAAAAAAAAGTCCTAAGGCTAGACTACAAATTTGAAAACCAGTCAGCTTAAAATCAAATGCCCTCAGACTGGCTGGACATTGGAAGCTACAGCTAGCACCTGAAAGTACTTCAGCTTATGCTGACTTAGGGGACCAAGCAAACCTTAGAACAGAATATACTCATTTGAAGGCATCACTTACTGTCTTCTATTTATTGCTTCCTTCCTCCCAGTGAAGGAAAGGATTCTCAATCACTAGCAGTTTTTCTTCCTGTCAAAACAAGGTGAGGGCTCCACCAGATGGAGAATCATCTGACTGAAGCAGAGAAGTAGAACATCACACTTCGGACATAACAGGTGCCACGTCATGGAGAAGTTGATCATTTTTTACTGAAAACAGCTGTGGGACTCAATGTTACCCAGGGCTTGTTTTCTTATAGGCTATTCAGTCATGGGAACTTGTTTTAATACAAATCAGAATATATTTTTAGATTCCAGATTTAATACAGGACTGGAGTGGGTTGAATAGTGTGCCCTCCCCCCCACCCCCCCCAATTCACATCTACACGCAACCTCAGAATAGACCTTTTTTAGAAACAGGGCCTTTGCAGATGTAATTAAGGATCAAGATGGGATCATACTGGATTAGTGTGGACCCCAAACCCAATGAGCGTGTTCTTATGAGAGACAGAAAAGGACACATCGAGACACAGGGGGGAAACCGTGTAAACAAGGAGGCAGAATTGGAACTATGTCCCCACAAGCCAGTGAACGCCAGGAGCCACCAGAGGCTGGAAGAGGCAAAGCCCCAGAACCTTTGGAGGGAGTGGGTCCTGCTAACACCTTGATTTCAGACTTCTGGCTTCCAGAACTAGGAGAATAAATTTCTGTTGTTTTGAGCCACCAATTTATGGTCATTTGCTACAGCAGCCCTAGGAAACTAAGATAAAGGTTAATATGCATATAGGGCTAAAACAAGAAAACAGTAACATCCTCTGAAGGAGAAATGCTACTGGGTCTCATCTGGGTTCAGGACATATAACCTTGATATTTCCCCCCTCGATCTATAAATTTACATGATGCTACTACCAGTGTGGACTTACAGTCTCCAAAGGAAAACAAAATCATGAGGAGTGACTTGGATTTTAGAAGACCTGACATAGCAGGAAAACATTCATTCAGTATTCCACAGATAATTAGCCCAAAGGCAGAACATTTTGGAAGACAAAGCACTAAGACAAATGAGTGCTGAAGAACATTATTTTTCCTCATTTTTCTAGGATTAGCATGTCTTTCTGATTGTATTCTCTGCTATGTTGCCAGAATTACTGATTTTAGCACAACCGAGCACAAGCACAGTCTGGATTTATTATCACGAGTGACTCATTTCTGGCTTGTCAGCAACACACCCGGAACACAGGTGCTCGCCAGCCGGCCTGGAGCCATTTCTGCTGGGTCTTCGTCCTCACCTCCCATCCCTCTCCCCCTGACAAATGAAGTCAGTGGATAATTACTGTTTTCACTTTTAGAATAAAAGTGCATTTCCATCCTGCCCTTCCACTTTTCTACAGCCTTTTATATGCATCTTCCCCCTGGCCTGGTTTTCCGGACTTTGAGCATCTGAACTAGACGACACACACACACGGTGGAACTGTGCTCAGTCACAGGATGCCACGCTTTAATTCCACCCACTAAGCCACAGCGGCTCATTCAATACTGAGCTGTGCGTTGCACTAGATCCTCCAGGTTTTCCACAGAGGGTGGACTGAGGGCGAACTGGATGGGCTTGCAGCTGACTGACTGAAGGTTCGGTCATGAAAACTGGTCTAAACCTTCCAGCTTCGGTGGACACAACATGATGGAGATGTCTCCCATCAAATGTCTAAAAGCACCTCCGGGCCCTGTGGTAAGAACAGCACTTTGAGTGCTAAGTGGCAAGTGGACTTATCCCCTTTCTTTCTCTCTTGATCCCAATTAACCCCCTCCCTCAAAGCCTAGAGCACACTCCATTTTCCACCATTACCCCGTGAAACTTCTCTGATGGCTGAGTTCACTGGCTCTACTCATCACTGCAAAAGTACCCATGGACCAGGCCATAGATGGCTCTTCTAGGTATCAGTTTTAATTTGATTTTGTTTCCTCTTCCCGACTGGGTTTAAGCTCTTTGTGAATATGTCTCTCTTTTCACCCAACGGTTACCCCCAAAACACAGGGGATAAAATCTGATTGGCTCAAGCCTGAGACAACAGTGGTGGCGTTCATTTCGGAGGGTCTTCTTCTCCACTGGGAATGATAACTTTCACTCATTTCCCCTCTAAGTACTAGGACTATAACCTTGCAGTCTCAATTGATGGTTATTTATGACTAACACGATACTTTTCTTAACCTAACAATAAACATTTTTCCTAAGAAATAACTGAAAACACAGCTGACCTTTAAAACTCCACAACTGTCTACTTTCCCATAAGTAATGTTACCAGTGAAGTTTTGAATAACGGAAATATCGCATTAGGAAATGACATATAACATAATCAAAAGCATGTCTGTTCCCACCACACAGAAGGAGTTCTTTATTTATCCTACTTAATTTTTTTGTTATCATTAAAATATGTTAGAGATTATCTGGAAGAGCAGTAATCACAAACAAGAACATGCTGTCCAGTATGAAGGATTTTATTCTAAGAAAAAATTAAATTTAAGACTCAGATGATGATGAATTATGTAACATATATATTCCCGTGGAAGTGAATAATACCGAAAAATCAAGTTTAGCTATATTTTTCCCTGCTAGTGATATTTCATAAAATTCTGTGTTCTCTAGATGATCCATATTCGAAGCTGAATTTGCCTTTACTGAGTAAGAAGCTTCTAGTGGTTCAAAGAGCAAAACAAAACTTTAACCAAGTAGTCACACTACTTAGGTCCCTAATCACTACTAAAATATATCCCAACTGTGTATGTAGCTAAACTTCCATGAACATTACTAGTGAAGGTAATGGGTTGGAAAGCACGATGGGCATTCACACTGCTTACATCTGAGTTCCATCCCTCAGTGCTGCTCAAAGGAACAGTATGGCGCAGTATTCATCCTATATGCTACCAAAAGTGCTGGTGAAAAAAATAATGCCCATTGTTTTTGGTGGTACAGGGTCAGGCCCCGGCAGCTTCTAAATCTTTAGCAGTCAGATTAGACTCCTACACCACAGCATGTTCTCGCCCTTGCCAGACAATGTCCACATCTCCCAAAGACCTGATAATATTTTCAGGGCAGACCACAGGACACCAAAGCATCGCGGAGACCCTATGACAAGCAGTTTTCAACTATGCTACAATTATACATTTACAAAGCACAAAGAAGCAGAAGCTCGATGTGTTTAGTGCTGTTAGTAGTAGTATGGAAGTGGGTTCATTTTTCCATGTATTTTACTATATTGTCATCAGGCAAGAATGTCCTTGAAATGGATTAAAAGTTGTGTTAATGACTACTTTGATGAAACTGTGCTAACGACTAAACTGGATCGACGCCAAACCTTTAATTCTTTTGCTTTTTAAATATTCTAAGTTAAGAATTTGGAAAGTGCAGACCAGAAGTGACTTGTTTTTTGAAGCCACAGAACATCTTTTTTAAAAAGAATGCAGAATCTCAATCAAGCACTAATTAACACTGACAGCATCGGAGTAAAATCAGTATATGCTTAATAATCCACACTAAAGGATGAGTAATTAGCAACTCACCATAACAACTCACATTTCTTGGGCACTGACTTCGTACCAAGCATGGTTCTCTACCTTATCTTTTATTATCTCATCAAGTCTTCATAGTTACCACTCCATTAATTAGGACCCCCTTCCCCAGGTGAGGTGACTGAGGCACAGACTGATTAGGGTAGGTGACCCACAAGCTAAGAACCTCGCGCTGATAAGTGGTGGAGGCGGGCGGGACTCCGTGACGGGAGCGGTTCTGCCACAGCTCGCTTGGTATAATGTTACAAATAATGATGTCTATATTGAAGAATGAGGTTAAAGATGAAGGCTGTATGGGTTTTCACAAAATTCCCTTTTTTATTGGTTTGCTGTCTAGATCATGGTAAAACAAGTATGTACCAGTTTCTTCAAAGGGATGGCAAGACCTGTGCAGTTCACTTCATGTCCCACTCACAGACTGCATTTGGGACAAAGAAAATTCTCACAGGGGGATTGTATTAGTTTCCTAGGGCTGCTGTAACAAAGCACCACAAACTGGGTGGCTTAGCATAACAGAAATTTCTCATCTCACAGGTCTGGAGGCCAGAAGTGGGAGATCAAGGTGTGGGCAGGGCCGTGCCCCCTCTCAAAGCGCTAGGGAAGATCAGGTCCAGGCCTCTCTCCTAGTTTCCAGTGGCAGAACTCCAGTCTTCACATGGCCTTCTTCTTGGGTGCATGTCTACCTTTGTGTGCAAATGTTTCCTTTTATAAGGACACTAGTCATACTGGATTAGGGCCCACCCTAAGGACCTCACTTTAATTTGATTACCTCTGTAAAGACTCTATGTCCATATAAGGTCACATCCTGAGGTTGAAAGGGGTAAGGTTAGGACTCCAACGAATCTTTTTTTTTAGGGAAGAAAATTCAACCCACAACAGTGATGATAACAGTGCAATCTGGAGCCTTGAAGTCAACTCAGCAGATTTGGGAATAATATAAAACAAAATATGAAGTTCATCAAGTTTATAAAGCATTCAAAGCCTAACTCACTTTGTAAAATGCCCCACACAAGCAAAGCAAATTTATCACTTTCTGGGATATTTGAAAACCTCTGATTTAAGGGTCATAATTAATACTGAAATCATTCACTCCTTCAAAACAGTATTAAGTGCCAGGCATGACTTAGCAGGTAATTTTTATGGTTTTTTTTTTTTTTAAACTTACCTAGAATTCTACCTGACCAAGGCAAGAGGAGGAACAGGGATGGGTTCTTAGCCATATCTGTAACTGAACTGCTGACGTTGGAAAGACACATTTTGTTACTTTATTTTCATCATCATCACATCTATTTTTTATTGAGTAACTATATATCAAGTTATTTTACATTAGCAGATAATTCAAAATGGCCTTTTGGATGACTGGGGTTTGCTTCCATCCCTAATTAGAGCTGCTCTCATAAAAGTATCCATCTCTGGTGGGAAAAACACGTTATTCTAACCTATGGTAAGGACAAAAGAAACCGCACATCCATCATATTTTTTCAAAAGCTATAAAAAATGGCATTCCAACCAAATGTGGACATGCTTGAACACCTCCTCTCCTTCATCGTTGGAAACTTTTAAGACACTAAAGGGCACGATACTTCATACAAAGCCCACTGCTCCATTCTTGGTACCCCATGGGGATCGATAAGCCCATCATCAGGAAAACACAGATCAAAGATGGAACCGAAACTTGCCCATCCCCAGACTTCTATGTTTCTGTTTATTTATCTTGTTTGTTTCTATTTATTAAAAAAATCCTAAGTAAAATATCATATAATTAGGACTCAATAAAAACAATATTGAGACTACATACTGGTTACAAGGAGAAAAGCATTTGTGTATCTATTTGAGACACTTCAAATGTAAACAGTCTGGTGAATTTTCATAGTAAAGAGAGCACAACAAGCAGTTCTTGTTCTTTGTAGCAATTTGGTAAGAAATCAAAAAAAGGAAATTCCTGCTTTGCTTCTCTAACCCTCAGAGCAGACTGTTTTGACATGGGATCAAACCAGAAAGGTTCGAGTCCTAGACATTTTCTCACTGTTTAGGTTCATACTGACCTCTACTCTGAATGGTGCTTAATAATTAAGACCTGGGAAGCCTGCTTCTCCCTCTCCCACTCCCCCTGCTTGTGTTCCCTCTCTCGCTGTGTCTCTCTCTGTCAAATAAATAAATAAAATCTTTAAAAAAAAAAAAAATTAAGACCTGGTAGCTCACTAGCACCAGGGAAGTCTCAGAGCCGTGTACCAGTGAGGTGACAGCAGTAAGTTAAAAACCTAGCAGTCTCAGGGACAAAACCTAATCCCTAAGTTTGTGCTAGAGGAAGCATCGCAGAAATTGGGAGTCGGACAGACCTTGATTTGAATCCCACCAGCTGATTACTAGTTGTGTACCATGGAATTAGTCAATCAGCCTTCTGAAGGGTCGCCTGCCTCATTTGTGAAATGGGTGGAATGCCCTCGAGGGGCTGCGGTATAGATTAGGGAGCACAGGCACACCCATGTACACACTGCCCCCCCCCCACCTGCTGTCTGATGCTCAGCAGATGGCAGACGTACCACTAGCACAAGCTTTGTTCTGAAGCTAAAAAAAAAGGCCTGTATTAAAATGCCTCTGGAAACTGACAGAGCTGAGGTGGGACTGGATGTGGAATGTGAGGAAGTTATAAAATAACTTAAGGGAGGAAGACAATGCACAAGGCAGGGCCAGCAAAGGAAGCGCGCGGGGCCGGGTGCACACTTACGGCGCTCCTCCCTGTGCCTCTCGGTCTCGGCGAAGTACTGGCGCAGCTCCTCCGTGATCTCCATGTTGCTCAGGTCGCACTCCACGCCCCCGTCTGACTCGGACTCCGCCTCCTCCGTGGAGGGCCCAGCTCGGCGTTCTCTCGGGCGGGCTGGTGGATGCTGCCCAGACCTTCTGGAATGTGCAGAACCGCAGTGCGAGTCCGTGGAAGCCGGGACATGGTCACGAGAGGGCCGAGGAGATTTGGCCTTGTTAGTGTAAGAGCTCTGGGGAAGAGCTGCAGGAGGGAAGGACCACGGGCAACTGAAATACGATTCCACGGCCTTCCTGTAGGCACTATGGTGGCTTCGCATCCAGGCCATCGCCTGATGATAATGTCGCCAGTATCTTGCATATACTGGATGAAAAGACCAAGGCTCAGTAGCTTTCCGGGATGCCACCTACAGAATAAAGGGAGGTGGAGGCTAGATACCACACAGTTCTTCAAGAGAACCCTCAAATATTGGACTAAACGACACGTATCTACTGAGTATCTTCTATATACCGACTACATCAGGATGCTACTACTGGGCCAAAGAGGACATAGGACAGGTCCATGCCCACAACGGACACCAAGTACATGTGCATGAGGTACACACAGGACTTAGTTTAAGGTTATGGCCACGGTAAAGTGGGGACAGAGGCTAATTATCATCATTTTTAGATAAGATGTAGGGAGAGATACTGACGTCAACCATCTTGGCCCTCTCTACCTACTGTAACTAAACGACTAGTTCCAAGAACCACATGGACGAATGTCTTCTAGTCCCTCCCTCACTACCCCCTTAACATCTGCTGGTCTGGCCCACTCCTCAGTGCCTGGACAAAAGCTGTCTAGCAACCTACCCAGTGGTGCTTTTACTTTTAGCTTTTGGATGTATTTGTTTCTTTGGTCTTCTCCATCATGGAATGAGAATACCAAGACTCTAAAAGGCTAAAATTTACCCTTTCCTCATGAGTTAAAAAAGAAAATCTTACCTCTGCTGCCATCTCTGATTGTGGACGTCCAAATGGGCACTGAGACTAGGAAAGAACAACCACAGTGCAAACATCTGGTCAGTACACGTGGGTGATATTTGTGGCTACTTCACGGTTTACAGAGCAGCTCCTCAGAGGCTGCCTCTTCCAAGTACCATGCCTGATCTTCACGCAACATATACTATAGGGCCCTGGCACCTGGGGAGGGATCCCCTTAGGTATGATTAAGTGGCTCAAAGGACACTGCATTTTTCAAATATTTGTTTACCTATTGAAAGTAGACTGGAAAGAACCATAGTTAGTAGCTAGTACCTGTATAAAAAATAATAATATAAAACATGAACTAAAAATATACAACTATTACTTAATTTATTAATCCTTAACTCATGCCGATGCCTATTTAAATTAACCCTAGATGTCCCCACGGCTTGAACAGAATACATCTTGCCGACTCACTGGAAATCATTGTTGGGTCTTGCCTCAGATCTGGGACTTGGAGAAGCCTCTCCAAATGAGATCTCTCTCCAGCCTGGGTTGTGCCCTGGGCTTTAAGCCCCCAAATGGGCCTTGTTTTGGTTTGGATTGTAGTAAGCATCTCTCAGCCAGTGTGTGACACCACACTCTCCCTGCCTAACCACTCTGCGTCTTTGCAGGAGAAACTGTTTCATGGAGACTCCCCACCAAGTGCCTGCATAGAACGCCTTTGCTCAAGAGCCTTGCTCGGCCAGGATTTACCCCTTTCTCCCCTACCTACCTGCTTGTGATTTATTGATATGGCAGAAAATACCTAAAGGTAAAGTTTAATCTGCAGCTGTACCTTCTATGAACTATTTAAAACGATTTTTTCTCCTTCCTGTTCAGGACTTCAGAGCTACTAAAATGCCAGCATACATCAGAATGTACTTTAAAAAAAAAAAAAGTTAAACAAAATATCCTGGGGTATCTGGCTGGCTCAGTCGGTAGAGCATGCAACTCTTGATCTCAGGGTCATGGGTTCAAACTCCACACTGGGTGTAGAGATTACTTAAAAAAAAAAAAAAAAAATTAAATAAAAAAACAAAAACAAAAACAAAAACCACCCAAAAGTAATATCCTAAAATGCACAAGAAATGAAGCATCTGTGAGATGAAACCACTAACACAATGTAATGCTGAGCAAACAGCTACTTGGGTTTTGAAACTCTGGGAAATCAGATATCGAAGGAGGCCTGTTTTTCCTCCTTCACTTAATTAGAGGGCAGAATTTAAAAATCTCTAAGCCTTAAGAAATAAACTTGACTTATTTTGTAATCTCTATCAGATGTTTTACTATGGTTAATGTGGAAAACTGAGATGTTAAATTGACCACATCTTTTAAGATTTAGCCTGAAGAGAACCATTCACTTTCTTTTAAAATATAACAGGCTTTCCAATAGGCTATTTCTAAGAGGTTTGACCCGATCTTCTGTAAATTTATCTTAAACACAGCCCACACTTCCTGTTCCCTGTTCTAAATTCAGGAATACACACACATGCAGTGAATGTAAACTGGAAAAAAGCCAACCAATGCAGTGAAAATATAAATGTAAATTAAGTTCACATTACTTTAAAACTGTAATTTAAAGGTTTAAAACGTGAGCAATTATCTGAAAACCTGGCTAACTGCCTATGTGCTTTACAAACTACTAAAGAAATATAAAAGTCAATACAATTAAGGGGTTAACGACCCAGAGAAGTAACACTAACACAAATGAAATTACAGTAGAAATCAGTACATACTTGAGTGCTAAACTGTAAGGTGCAGCCTGGAAGTGGCTAATTCATTCCAGCCCAGTTTCGTATTTGTATCACCGAAATCTGAATATTTTTCTGAGAGTCTGCAGCACATAATGCCTTTAAAGTGAACACCATGTGTGTCTTAATCAAATTTGTTTTAGAGATTAACAAGTAGCATAAGAATTAAATTTGAAAAGTCTAGGAGGCATCTGCATGTGTTCTGGAAATTAAGTGTTTTGAATCTAGACTTTGATGCCTCATAAAACGTACTTAGAACCAGATCAATGTAAATATTAAATATCCTGAACTGGGAAGTCTGGATTCAGCCTCAAATATGCCATAAACATTACTGTAATTGAACACTACTGCAGACCTTCGGAAATCCTGTTTTTATTTATAACTGGGAAAATCCTGCCTGGCTTTAAAAGTAATAGTACCAGTATTGTGAAAATGTATAAGATGGCTTATGAGAGGTTCCACTTTGCAGAGCTAGAAGTGTAGGCATGCGCGATCAAGTAGATAACTGTTTAAGAGGCTCCAGCGTAATTCATCATGTTCACCAGGCTGCTTGAATGTAAATGGCTGTGATTAAAGGGGGCATGGAGAGTTAATCTGAGGAGAGGCTACTTATTTATGCCTTTGATTTCGACAAATAATTTGCTAGAAGGGCTGCCATGTTACACTGTCTCAGAGATCACGCAAGGCAATGCCCTAAGCGCTTCTGCAAGAGGAAGCCAGGACAGTGGGCTGAGATGGCTGAAGAAAGCCGACTCCAGGGTCTGGAGCACAAGCAGCTCTGATTCAGCCTGGTGCGCCAGTGCCCTATGAAGTAGACCAACGAGTCGGCTAAGGCACTGGCCTCTTTCAGGACCCAGGCCATTAAGGAAAGCTGAATTTATCTTAATGATGGAATACGGGCGTCTTTGACATCGATTTTATTCTAATAGTGCTTTCCTGTTTTGGCCGCTGGGACACTTACGATCAAATCTGCTGCCATGCTCCGGCAAGTTAAGAGTCCTGGAGCTGTGTGTCGCATATGCTCATTCACCCCTGGCTTTATTATTCTTCCTCCCCAAATTCCAAAACCTATGTATCATATTCTTTTACATTTTAAGTATTGGAAGATTCCTAAAATCCTACAGATATTCCATTAAAAGTAATTCCTGAGAATGAATAAGTAAACTCTCAGAAATCAAATGAAAGAAGGCCTAGAAAAATATGTCTAAAGGAGTAGCAGCTTACACGCAGCTTTATAATTACTGGCTTCTCTTTCCAGCATTACTCTTGGTACTTAATGCCAGCAAAATTTTTCTGTAAAGGGTCAAACAGTAAATATTTTGGGCTTGTGGACTACATACAGTCTCTGTCACACATTCTTCATTTTCTTTAAATTTAAAAACAATCTGGGTGCCTGGGTGGCTCAGTCGGTTAAGTGGCTGTATTCGGATCAGATCATGATCTCAGGGTCCTTGGATCGAGCCCCGCATCGGGCTCCCTGCTCAGTGGGGAGTCTGCTTCTCCCTCTCCCTCTGCCTGTTGCTCCCCAGCTCGTGCTTTCTCTCTCAAATAAATATCTTTACAAATAAATAAATAAATTTAAAAACAACCTTTTGACAATGTAAACACCATTCTTAGCTCCCAGGCAGTAACAAAAACAAGCTGTGGGCCATCCTTGGCCAGTCCCTATTTCACGTGAATACATTATTCAGCTGCACTGACTCTGCTTTCAGTACGCAGGGGGCTCTCATTGTTGCTCGCTCTCCACTTGGCAAACCATGGAGGAACTTTGTGATTCTCACTTGTCTCATAAATGATTAGGCTTGGAGTAAGCCTAGTGGAAGCAAGACAACTGTGATGAGGACCACCAGCAATCTTGGTGACCAGTTTCTAATATCTGGGACAAAAGAATTGTCTCCATGACTAAATAAGGAACTTGGACCATTTCTTAAAGATCTACATAGATATTTAAAGACTTAATTTAAAAAAAACCAAACTCCTGCAATCAATTGGGCTTAGAATGCACGTGTCGTGCCATGATTTCTGACGGAGGCCCTACTAGCTGCCATGGGCTGGACAGCAACCCAACAAGGATGGGGAGCAGGAGAGAGCTCCGAGTCTCTTCCCTGGAAGAAGGAATACAAATCCCTTCCTGCTAAGTGCATCAGTTAGCTCCTAAGGGAAGGTGAGAACCTCCTCTAAGAATGGGTCCTGTGAACTTTTTCAAACCGGCTACTCTTTCCACACAGAGAACTTTAGGACCTAAAAAAAATGCCTGGGTTTCTGAAAAGCCAACATGAAGCTAATTCTAGATATTAAAGCAACACTTTCAGCCACCAGTTCAAAGAGAAGCAAGCTTATGGTTACAGCAGATTTAGATGCCTTTCAAAGGTCTTTAATTTTATCTTTCATTCGCCACCTCTTTGGGAGTGTCTCCTACTCTTGCGGCACACGTCTTCATGGACTGAACAGCAGCTTTCCTCCTAATGGGATGGCGGAGCTGAAAGAAAAGAGGATGGCAATGTCAGGGCAGGCTGGGACCCACAGTTCACCAAAACGGCAGCCCTCCCCGGCGAGCACAATGGCATAATAGTCAATACCCAGCTGAGCCCGGGCGGGCACAGAGACCGAATTCATTGTCTGTTCTCAACCACCAGAGAAGGAAGGAAAAAAACAGCGCTGAGGTCATTCAGGAAACACTGTCGAGGCCCGGGGCCCACAGGCAAGACAGTGCTCTGGGTCTTGAACCATATATTTTCCCATGTAGCCTTTCTTAAAAAACACACGCATTCTTCAATGAATCTGCTTATCCTGGAAATGTATTTTTAAATGCATAAACATACATGAGGAATAACAGACAAGAGCTTTGTCGTTTTCAATGGAAAAAATCCAACTATTTCCATCAAGTCATTAAAAAATTCCACAAGTAATGTGGCTTTGTTGAAAGGTAGGGAGAGCATACATATTCTTTTTACTGCGTATTTCTATTCCTGTAAATATAGGATCTAGGATGTGTCATCGCAACCAATAAATAAAATAAAAACACAAATTCCCCTCAAACAATAATGTACACTCCGCAACTGGATTTCCTCTCTATCCTCCTTTTCCAGCAGAATTCTGAAAATGAAATACATGAAAACTCACCTGCTTTGATTTTTGCATAGAAACACACTGGAGGTCAGTCATTAAGTTATGCTGGCTAAAGCCCCTAAAGTCAAACCTTTCCGATAAGGCTCCCAGTGATTTGGTTCTCTGAACCAAACACATAATTTGGAGGATCTAATTTAGGCCTTCGGTATATGTTTCAGGGTAGAAGGGGGTCTGCTGGAAATTGCTCAAAATAAATGAAGGTACAATGAGAAATGAAAATTACATGAATCGAGTCATGTGGGGTTCGAAGGAATGTCTGTATATGTAGTAATAACCCTATCAGAGAAGATGTCTTCCAATAATGCATACACCAGTAGGAATTTCCTCAACTAAGATAATAAAAGGTTTTCTGACAGCCTTGCTTCCGGCCCACCACCCCCGGCTGCCTGATGGCAGTTTCAACTGGCTTGATGCACTCATGGGCTCCCTCCTGTGGCTTAGCATGGTCCCTGCTGGCTAATGTGGACAAAGATGGCTCAAGACTGAATGTCCTCCCACCCTCAGGAGTCCAGCCTCTGTCTTATGGCCAAAGGCCTCCCACAAGGGCACATACTACCCCCGGTTCAGAGAGCCCGCACCTCTCTGTCTACAACAACCATCGTTAAAACTGATGGGCGAGGGAGCCAAAAAAGTTTTATTTCCTTTTCATTCCTTCAACCCCAAACTCTCTTCCGGACGTTGCAGTTAGAATGTCACAAAGGAAGGCCCAGCATGGGGAAGGAGGAAGAATGAAAGGACATAGTTAAGCGTTCCTCTTTTTTTTTTTTTTTAAACACAAATAACTTTCCACCCACAGAACGGCATTGTTTGTCAGCAGAGTGATGGATTTGTGAGTGGATTTATTTGCAAGTTCACCAAATCCCCATGTGCCTAAAGTCAAAATCTTAAGTGAAATAGGAGGCCACTCAAAAACAAAGTGGACCCTCTGACTTATGAACACAACACGCAATGGGAGAGTTGAAAACGGGAATAACAAGAAGGACATAATAGTTATACAACTCAAACGAGGAAACAGTTAAGTTCAATTCACTGCAAGTTTATCGCTCACAAAGCAAAACCTAGTGTGACTGTAAAGGACTAAGGGTTAAACAGGCAGGTTATGCAAGTTCAGAGCCTATCAGCAAAAGCCATGACTAGTTTAAAGTGGTTAAGCCCACCAGTAGATTTCAGGAGCTTTATTTCAAGTTTACTTCTATAAACACATACATGGTAATTCCATTTAATCGCTGTGTTTTCTGAATTTATACGGCACTCACTACATCCCACCTATTTAATCAATTACTTGTAGGCATGGATTCTGCAATCTATTTCTTTTAAATTTCCTATTTTCCTTCCAGCATAAAAACCATAGCTATATTTTCCTGCCTTTGGATGCTGGTGAGATTGTTGTTTCCTGATAATAGTCTCTCCTCCTCCTTCTACCCTCCCTAAATAAACTGTGTAGCTAGTCACTCAAGTAACCGTACAGCTCCAGATCTTTTTGGAAAGCAGACGTTTAAATACATTAATATGTTTTCAAAAGTATTTTTAATTCATCTGATATTTGATCAACCACAGTTATGCTCTTTTTTCACTTGTCCAACTGTTTTAATTTCCTATTGGAGAGAAGGGGTCCAAGAGTTCTGTACCTAGTTTGTAATCTCTCCAGCCTCCACTCTGGCCTTAATTGTTCAGTTTTCCCCCATCCTTCTTATCTCACCCCACCCTTAAATGCTGGATCCTAAAACCCAAAATAATCCTTCACCATCTGTAAAACAGTTTTAGAATGAAAATTTCTCTCTGGAGCTTTAGTTTATATACTTTCCCAGCACAGCAATGAACACAGAGGAGATCTGTATACCTTACTGTGAACCTGTCTTCAGTTACTATCCCAAGTCACTAACCAATTTACTATCCCAAGTCACTAAACAATGATCTTTAAAAACATATGGTATCTCTTGTCATTGCCATCCCAAAGGGGCTGTTATAAACTGTATTTGCAAATGTTATCTCCACCCCACAATTCATGGAAATCCTGAGAGTAACTAAGCCCAGAAGTGTTATTAATCTTTGGTCTAGACTTTCTAGTAATGTTCTGACTTAAGGTGCAAAACAGCTGAATACAAAACCTAGCCTATGAAACAACTTTAAAAATCATTCTTGAAACAGATAAGATTGTTTAGAACCATCTGATCTGTACTAAGGAACTCCCAAGATTTCAGAGCTAAAAGGTACTTCGTTGGTCCCTGTTCAACTCCACTTAATTACTGAGGAAGTGGGCAAAGACCTTCTCCACCTCCACGGGTAAGGCGCATAAAAGACCACAGGTGCCAAATGTTCTCTAGATAATTTCCACTAAAATTTCTGACCTCCCACAGAGGTCAAAGTGGGAGGGAAAAGAATGAAAACCCCAAGTTTTGAGTAGAAGAGCCAATATTCCAGACATCCCTCCAAGGATGAGGCTGCTCTGGGCGACGTTCTGTTCAGGTACTGGGCTGTATGGCCTAAGTCAGAATTCATCCAGACTTAACACAGTGTTACTCAGCACTTCAGAATCACGTGGGGGAGGGGGGAGTTTAATAAAAATGCCGATGCCTGGGTCCTACTTCTAGAAATTCGAATTTAATTGGTCTGGGATGGGCCCCCGGGCATCAGAATTCTTAAAAGTCATCCAGTGATTCCGAAGCACGGCGGCTGAGAGTCTCTGGAACCGGTCCCCTGTCACAATTAACCAGCAATGATTTAGGAATCTCACGGGCCCCGCGGGATGAGGCTAATTACGACAACGTGACAGGCAAGCCCTTGGCTCTCCCGCCATCTGCGGAAGCCAGGGTCCGGGGCCTCCAGGCTCCTCCCTCACTCCCCAAAGGAAACCCAGCCGTCCCCGGAGTCACCTCGTGGGCTCGTTGCTCGCGGATCTCGGGCGGTGGGCGAGCAGGGGCCTATTTCCTGTGAGGAGACCGAAGGGGCGCGGGAGGGAGGGGCTGTTGCCCGGGAGACCAGAAATGCACTTCCGGCGAGGATCACGTGACACGCGCGCCGGAAGTCCGCGCACGGCGCCGCTGACGCCACGTCCGCTCCGCGTTCTGCGCCACGTGTGCGTGGGGAAACTGTCGTGAGATGAGGCTCCGCCTTCCGGGGCGGAGCGTAGGGAAACGCTGGAGGAGGGTGATGGGCCAAAGGTCCCGGCGCGACTCCGGCGCCTGGGCGCCGGGTCTCCACCTGTACCTCGGGTGACGGGTCTGGCGCGGCGGGAAGACGAGGGTTGTTTCTGCACCGCCCTCGTCCCTGGGCCAGTTCCTTGACTGTCGACTTTTCACCCTTCTCTCAGCTCTCTTATCTTCCTCTTTTCTTTAGTTAGACTTTTCTTTCTTTTTTTTTTTTTAAACTGGCAAGGCTAGAGGTCGTGGCCCAGGAGGACACGCCCAGGCTTTGGAGATAGCGTTTAGTTTATTAACCTCGCGAGCCTCGGGTTCTCGCCCGTAAGATGTGAATAATCTGCCCTAGTGCAGTGCCTGGTGCGATATAGCCGACCAAAGTTAGTACCTATTAACATTATTTGTATTGCAGGCATTATCAGCAACACTTGCCCTGTTAGCATCACAGAGGATTCGTTAATAACCAAGCAAAATCCACCGAAGTCTAAGTGGCATATCCTTTCTGGGGTAATAATTTGGCAAACCGCGGCAAGAGCCCTAAAAAGGGCATACTTTTGTCTTAGAATTTTCACTTCTGGGAATTCATTCCAAGGAAAAGCAGACGTTAAACCGGATGTTCATTGCAGAATTATTTTTAAAAGTGAAAACGAAAAAACAAGTGCTTAATAAGAGCAAGTGGCTAAGTCAATTAGGCTCTACCCGTGGCGTGAATATTACTACCCATTCCTATATTACAGAAGAATCAAACTGTATAGAAAATTAACATATGTACTGGCTGCCTACTATGTGTCAGGTATTATTCGGTATCTGCACTGTCCATTGCAGCCACTAGACGCGTGTGGCTGTTGAGAGCTTGCAGAGTCTGAGCTGAGGTGTGCTGGAAGGGTAGATCACACCGTGGATTTTGAAGACTTAGTGTGAGACAAAGAATATAAAATACCTTATTTTGCCAGTGGTAACACGTTAGGGAAGGACTGTTTAGGTTAAATAAAATGAGATTAAAATTAATTTCACCTTTCTCTTTTTACTTTCTTAATGTGACTGCTAGAACATTTGAAATGACATAGGTCCCACGCATCATTATATATTTCTATTGGACATTGGTATTCTATTTACCAGATATACAGTGGTGAACAAGACCGTTTTTGTCCTCATAAAAGTAACACTCAAGTACAGCATGGACAATGAACGGGTAAATAATGTCATTGTATATCTTGGTTATATGAGGAACATAAAGTGAGGGTAAGGGCCAGAAAAGGTGTATATATTGAGGGTGGTTATTTTAGATGAGAGTCTTCCTCCCCTGTTCAGAAAATGGATGTGGAAAGGATGAGATCTCTATGGATAGAATGGGAAGGGGATGGTAGGAATGTGGTGTCTTCTGGGCAGTCAGCTGTGGATTGAGGCTGATAAATCATTTGGGCCTGGTGGAATCTCTGCCTTAGGAAGAAACCACATCAGGAGAGGAAGGAAAGAGAGAAGAGGGGTAAGATGCCAGGGGGAAAGAGCTCAGGGAGCCCCTGGGAAACAGAACAAAGCAGGCTTGCAGTGGATACGTTTCAGGTAGAGCGGTTACTGGAGTAATACCTGTCTGTATGCTGTAGTGCCGTGGGTGTATGTATATATACATAATGAGTATACTATGGTATTAGATAGCATATTACTTTGCTCTCACAGAGACTCAGAAGGAGAGTGGCTCAAACTGTTGAAAATGTATTTCTATCTCTCTGGGTGTCAAGTGTCCAGAGTAGTAAGGTAGATGTATGGGGCCAGGGACTCAAATTTCACCTATCTCGTAGCTCCACACTCCCCAGTTTGTTGCCGTGGCCACGTGGTCAAAGACATGGCCAAAGATGATGCACCACTGTACCTTCCAGCCAGTGGCAAGGGGGAGAGGGGAAGCTGGGGCATACCCCTTCCCTCTAAGGCAGGGTTTTCCACCTGGGCAGTATTCATATTCGGGACAGATAATTCTGTGTTCTTTTGGGGGGCTCTCTTGAGCATTGTAGGATTTCAGCAGCATCCTTGGCCCTTACCGACTAGGTTACAGAAGCATCCCCCAGTATGACAACCAAGAATGTCTCCAGAAGTTGCTAAATGTCCCCTGGAGGGTGAAGGCACCATTGGATGAGAACCCTTGCTTTAAGTGCACTACTACCTAGAAGGTACTCACCACACTTCTCAAATCCCACAAATGGCCAGAAATTCATCATTCAGCCATTCTAAGGGCAAAGGAGTCCTGGAATTGTCTGCTGGCCAGGTGCCCAGCTAAAAGTTCGCTAAAGGAGGCAGCAAGATGCTAGCAGATTCTTCGGCCCCCTTGTTGACACAGGGAATGGAAAGCCTGTAGCCGATTGAGGAGGTGGCCCTGTTAATCTTCCAGAATGAATTTTAGTCATTATTCATTTCAATTCACTTGCATAAAAATATTGGTGATGGGAAACACTAACTGCCCAAAAAGTGAGGATCCCATTTGAAAAGGATGGGCATTGCTACTCCAGAGGGCTGACCAGGGAGAGAAACTGGATTCAGAAACGGAAGCGGCAAAATGTTGGATTTTTCTCTTGTGTTGTAGCGCCATCTGGTGGAAATTTATAAATCCTACCGTTCTTCACCTGCTTGCCTGGGATGGGCTTTCACTCGGGTCAAGTGTAAACCTCAAATTATAAATAACCCTTAAGTGGATTTTAGCAAACCCTTAAGGGTCCTCCTTTTTAAGATGAGGAACTTTTTAAAATCGGGTTCCTCACCTCCGGTACTATTGACGTTTGGGGCCAGATAATTCTTCATTGTGGGCACCGTCCTATGCACCGGAGGAGGTTGAGCAGCCTCCCTGGCCTCTACCCACTGGATGCCAGTAGCACCCCCCCATCCCTCCCCTCTCCACTGGTGACAACCCCAAATTACCAAATCTCCCTTGGGGGCCAAATCGCTCCCTGCTGAGGGCCATTCCTTTAAACAGAGTGTCTAAGAGTCCAAGGACTATTAAGGCCATCTGCCACAGCGCTTCGTGTCTGTGTACCCTGGGAGTGGGAGGGGCATGTCTGGGAGAAACAGAAAGACACTACTGGGCAAAAACCAGGCTCCAGATGCAGCATGACATGTCCTCTTTGTAATACTCTGGAGAACTCTGTTCCTGCTTGTCCCAGCAGCTGGAGAGGAGATTGACTGAGGGCTGCCCAAAGGCCCAGAAAGCAGATGTAAAATGTCTTCAAATCCCCCGGGGCAAGGGAATCTATAGAGGTCATTGCCTAAAGCACGAAGGCTCACAGCGTAGTCCCAGACTGTGGTGGTGGTGGTGGTAAGGGGTGGGTGGCAAAGTCCTCCCAGGGGATGAACAGGTGTGGATGATCCTGCTAGGTGTGGGAAGCCATGGTTCATCTCCTGGCGGGCTTTTTGGATCTCCCCACGCCTGTTACCTCTCTGCTGCCTGAGTGTTGTCGAGAAGCTGGTTAGGAGCCAGTCCCCTTGCCTGGGTCAAGTGAGTGGTGCTAAAGCCCCTGCAAACAGTCCTGAGTTCTTACCCGGGAGCTGCATAAAGGAAGGTCAGTTTTGATGTGAAATATTGGGGTCCAGGAGCGAATGGTCAAGAAAGAATTCTTGGCAAAAAAAGGTGGTTTTATTAAAGCCTGGGGACAGGACCCGTGGGCAGAAGGAGCTGCACCAGGGTTGTGAGGAGTGACTGATTATATACTCTTAAGTTGGGAGGGGGTTAGGGAGAGCATAAGTCTCTAAGGAATTTGGGAGCGAGGTTTTCAGGACCTTGAGGGGCTAGCTGCTATTAAGATAAGGTCATTTATGACTGTGTAGTAAAACCTTAGTCATGAGACCCTTCAGATGTATATCAGTGGGCCACAGGTTTGGAGGATGATTGCTAACACATATCATGGGGGGGGGGGAGGTGAAAGGGGGGGTGGGTAGAGATAAAGGAAGTTTCCAGAGGGATTTTTACAGGATCCTGGAGGTCGGGCTAATGTCAAGCTAAGGTTGCCTTTCGCCTCTAGCCAAGTATTCACATTGAGGCAGTTGAGTTCCTGGAGGAAGGTCACTCTGCCTGTCTTGAGTACTTGTCAATGGGCTGCAAGTTGTAAGGACATTTAATTTTTTCTACATTTCTTTTGCCTTGGTTCTCCACATCAAGTTTCCCAGGAGCATTGCCTAGTGGCAGCTTCTGGCCCCGCTGAGGGCCTCTCTTACACTCTCCGCCTGATGTCACCTTCTTGTCAGCTTTGCCCCACCATCCTGACCCTCCCTCTCCACAGAGACCTTTCTCCTGACAAAAATGAAAATGCCCAGGTGCAGGTCTCATCACTTTGGAAGGCAGCGCCTCTTGTTTCAGAGGAAGAGGTATCTTGGCTTCTGCCTACACCATTCCATCCTCGTGTTCTCTGGATCCAGTCCCACGTCCTCAGGGGCACCTCGCTCCCTCAGTTATGTCCCTCTTCTTCTACCAGTGCCTCCTCCCTCCCCAACCCCTTCCCCTCAGCATCAACCTTGCTCAGGCGCTCCAATCCTTACAGTAGTTTTGGTGGATTTTTCATGTCGTGCTCCTTACTGTTCTTTCTCCTTCTCTTTGTGGTCCTACTTCTGCACAAAGTGGGCTACCTCAATGTCCTCGCCTTCCTTCCACTCAACCCGCTGCCATTTCTCTTCCAGCACATCACACCTGTGTCCCTGAGGCACTCAGCTGACTTCTGCCTCTCCTGTCTACCATTATTTGGCCTCTGCAGTATTTGATACTCTTGGCCAAGTCCTCTTTTTTTCTTTTTGCAATCACCACATTCTCCCTCCCCAAACTGCAAAGTAATATGTGCTTAGTGCACAGAACAAAACACAAGAAGAAAACTATGAATCTTGGAAGACACA